TTTCCTCTATCAGATTCTATGACGTTTAGCTGCACTATCGTACATACTATCTCAATCAAATTTGTTTAGTTTATTTCAAACTTACTATTCCTTCATTTACAGTAGATTTTCAATCAGCGTGTTGCTGATAAATTATTTCGGAAGGATATGGTATCATCTATAAAATAGTTAGGGTTAGCTGTAATATCTAAATTGCCTCCAGTTCAATAGTCTATCTTTTTTTATCAAGCAATTGGGTAGTAGAATATCATAACGATTATTATTTCGACTATTTAGGTTGATGTTTTTTTGATTCTTCGTTTTGTTTTTTCCAATACTGAATTCTGTCACATTATTCAGGAACTTATTCGACTTGATCGATAATATGATGGCAATAAGATGAGGTGTATTAACTGATTTGCATTAGCACTTATGACACTATCTTTACCGGTTTTCAGTGATAAACTATTTAAGCAAAACATCAACAGCCAAATCGATCCGATAGTTGATATTGAAATTTCCTTCCGAAGTATTTCATTTAGTCGCACTATCAGCTAAAATTTGTTAACGACGGACTAGTAATATTTATAACGAAGGTGCTATTAATAGCATCATATTTTGCGTGTTGATATAATAACTGCGCCATACATTTCGATAATTTAATGTGAAAATGTTTCAAATAAGGAAATAAAATTTTAATTTTCCAACTTTCATAAAATGAAAATTATAATATTAATTTAGCTTTCTCTGTTCAATTCAATATTATTCTTTTTTGAGGATAATAAAAAAACAAAATACTCACTTAATCAATAAATTAATACTTGAAGAATTGATACTTCGGGAAAAGCGGAGATCGGATAATGGAATACCATGTTGTATGAACGAATAACAAATATCTTGAACAAAGACAAATAAGGATATGTTTTCATTAAGTAAGGTATTCTTCACGAACAAAAAATTGTTTGGTAGGTGAATAACCAAAATTAAGCAGGGTTATTTATAATGGATCAAGCATTTCATCTCTCAAGATCAAGCTCTTCCACGGCATTGTGCCATTAATACAAAAAGCGGGTTTTGACAGGAAATCCGAAGAAATTATTGACACTTACTCCTAAAATACTTACAATACTTTAATTAATAATAGCTGCAACAAGTTTTATAGGAACAGCATCCATAGCATGAACTCTTAGAAATATGTCTATTATAAGATTTTAGCACTTTAAAATTTGCAATATTATTTGTAAAAATCATTCCTTAACACTAATAAAAGTTTATTAAGAGAAGGACACCTTTTCTTCTAACAATTTTCTCTTCGGCGCGGACTTTTAAGGTCAAAGAATTTTGTATCATTTGTTTTCAATTTGTTTTATTTCTCATCATAGGTTAAATTTTTCCAGTATTTCAGGATTATCAGTGTTGATGAAAATCAGTGACGACCGCAACCAATGAATTCGATCATCAACGGCTTGATATAATGTCGTAGGAAAGCAGAGACGAAATTTTTTGCAAGTTTTTACTTCTTCTTTCTATTCAACTGCTTGAAGCTATTTTAACTTTTTCCACACTAAAATTAATTGCTTTATTCATTTCGTTACTCACAAGTTGAATCATCTAAATTGAAGAGATCTGATCATAACGGATAGGCATGACTTCTCTATTCATCTGTTATCTCTTTCAAAATGCTCAAAATATATTCTTATTTCATCACAGAAATGATCGTAAAAATATTTTTTTACAGGGTTCAATGTCTGTTTCAATCAATCTGAAGGAAATCAAATTTAAAGAATTTCTTTACAAAAACCAAAATGACCAATTTCATAGAGCCATTTACCATTACTACCATTATAGAAGCAATCACCAATCATAAGCAGCATTATCACCATCACTACTGCAATAATCAGAAATTGTCATGACTGAGCTTATTTGACTTGAACTTCTGATAGATATAAGTAAATTAGAAATTGATTAAATGTGATAAAATTTGCTTCTTGAAAGATATTTCATTTTACACATTGTTCATTCAAATTCAACGAAAACTTTCTTTTGTCCAACAAGGTATTGAACTATTCAATTTTTTATGAAAGATCTTTACAATTTTCAAATTTTAGAAAAGTACTGTAATTGAAGAAAACAATAAAGAATTGGATGTTATGTTGGCTTGCACGCATTGAAGTTCATTCTTTTATCAATAACTTGCCAAACTTTTAGAATAATTACATTTGGAAGCGAAAACAAACTATAGAAATAATTATTTCTGAAATGATTAGCAATAGGAATAACTATTTCATTCAATTACTTCAAATACTTATGCCGCCAGCCATTTCATTCGCTTCTTCTTTGCAACACTTTTGATGTAATCCATAATATCTAAATTAAGACGAAAAAAGTGTAACCAAATTTTCTGCTATTCACTTCTTACAAAATAATGTATCAATCAATTTGTTTTTTGCGAATGAGAAAGTAAAAACACTAAAATAAAATGACACATTGTTTATTTATTCGATTGCTAACTTAATAAAGTTTACAAAGTTAATTAGAATTTAAAACAATGATTTGATTAATTTGCAACTCAAAGATTAGAAAAGAAACCAATGTCTATGCATTGGTATGTCCGAAAAACAATTACGAAAAATCACTTTCGCTATTGAACGGTTATTTTTTGTTGCATGGCGATGAAATTTTCTTTATGACCTCTAATAAGGAACGACTATCTCAATTTTTTCTGCAATTTTTTCTATACGTACGCTATTTCAAATTTAGAAGAAAAGATAGAATTGACATTATTTTTTCGCAGCAAATGTCATATACATCAGGCTAATTATTAAAATACATTTGAAGTTATAGAATACTTCCAAATGTTCATTCAGAAATATGATCCTGACAGCTGCTCATATGAAAGTATCTACGATTGCAGTTTTTTCTTCAATTTTGCTTCAAAAAGGCCTGAATTCAGATTAAGTTTCATGAATATTACCGATCAAGTTCGTTATTCTTAAATCTAGTCATTACTCTTTATTACTCAGCAAAATTCTACAGCGTATTTTGATTTGTTTAAATAAACAATTAATTAGACGTAAAAGATGACTTAACAAAAGACGCTCCAAACTTCTTCGATTATAAATCTATAGCGTTCAAATATTGGTGTAACAAGTCGCATATGAATTTGAGGAAAATTTTTCTCAATTCAAAATTAGGGAAAGTAAATTAATTCGCTAATAAGAGCTCTATTGCCATTCTAATTGGCGCAGTATTGTTCGAAATCACTTTCACTTATTACAATTAAACTAACTTGAAGAAGCACAGAAATATAAACTCCAATAATACATATAACTTTAGGAAATACCGTCTATCAATTAATTTTTATAAATACTTCAAGAAGTTCCTAAAATCTTATTTGCAATCATATTGCTGATTCTATGAAACTTCCTTTGTCTTTCAATTTTTTCTTTATCTTTTCACTTTTTTTTAACTTTAGCTAATTTAGCAATGAAAAAAGGAATGCATAAAAAATGCAGCAGAAATATCAATGAAATAATTTACGGAATATAAGAAGAATGTGATGATACATGCAAAATGCAAATTATTCTCACTTATCAGAAGACGTGCAGAATAAAACAAATTGCGGTCATTTTCAGGAAGCGCAATTTCTTTCTCCAAAAATTCATACTATCATTCATTTAAATGACTTTATATAGAATGATTTAAACTGTTTAAAAAATTTAATGATGATCTTCGTTTCCTTCGTCTTTCCCAGTGGTGCATTGTGGAAATACTTGAAGTATTTTACGATGCATTACTCATACATCTCATCCTGTCTGATTATTCATCAAGACAACACGGCTAGCATCCTTGAACAGATGAAATGATTTCAATCGCCCATTGTTCATTCCAGTTTTCCGTCCCTTTTGCTGTTTACTTTACTATTTCTAAATAAAACGTCGTTTTCGCCTAATACAACTTCGAAATACATAAAAAGAAAATTGATTTCAAAAATTTGCTGTTTGCAGCAGAGATCGTCGACGAAATTCTTCATGAAAAATGAACTGAGAAATGCATAACGTGCAAATAGTCAAATCAGTACTAATCGATAAATTCATCTGGAAAGTTAATATTTTCTAATAATTATAATTTAATTTGAATTATTCCCTCATAAACTAATGAATGTGCATAAAAACAACCAAGAAACCGACTTAAACAACAATAATGTTCATTTTATCCTTTATTCCGAGCTACCTTTTGCAATTAGTGCTTAGATTGCAATTAACGCTTAGCAATCGATATCTAATTATGTTAATTATCACATTTGTGCCAATCATGTTATATTTTAGATGTTTTTTAATTCGATGGATGTTAAGTAAAATACTACAGTTTGCGGGAATTTTTAAAAATGAAGCAACAAATAAGCGACAAACCAATCAAGCGAGCTGAATGTAAAGTTATTCAAACTGCAGAAATTTCAATGAGAAATTCCAACCGACTTAATAAATAGCACTTTCGAATTTGTTCCAAGAATTGGTTGGAAATCAATTTAACTATGACATATTTTTTGGAAATCTTATAACAAAGTTTCTTCTTTATAAAAGAAATTAATAATTCATTAATTGGTACCCATAAAATTCGCATTTCAACCCAGAAAAAATGAATGAATCATCGAGTATTGAATAAAAGAACCGGATATATGGATAAAAACTTCTTCAATACATGTAATTATACAAATAAATTTAAAGGTAATGTAGAGAGATTTTTGCAACGCATCACTAAGCGCTTTTATGTGAAAGTAATGGCATAGAAGATAGCAAAATGAAGAGTATTTAAGTTCACAGTTGACAATCTTACAAATCATTGTCTCGAAATTGTGCTTTACTTTTACCTTTCAAAAGATTTCTTTGAAAATAACATTCTCCTTCTAGATGCTTTTTAACAATGATTTTATTTAAAAGAGATATGAACCCATTCATGCATAAGGTAATAATAATATTGGATGACGAAGAACTTAATTTACAGAGACTACAAGTAGTAAAATGTGCTTTATGCTGATGCTATTAGCACCATTCTTCATCATAATCATACAATCTAGCAGCGGAAAGTTTGGACAGTACTGCATTAGTGACGGACAATGTGGTCCAGGAAAACGGTGTGTTCCGAATATAGCTGGATTATCTCTTTGTCAGCAAGTTTTAGAACAAATATCAAACAGACCAGTGGTATGCAAATTTTTTTTAGCACAAATATCATTGGAAAGTATCGTACTTACCATTAGATCGAAAATAGGACTAGATTTTTCAAACTTTACTTCTTACATATGAATCTTTTTTTCAAAATATTTCTCATTTGATCGCTTAGGATTTGCAGCCAAAACAGATTTTTTGTACGGATGATGAACAATGCCGCCCATTTGGAGGCAAATGCATACGTCTTGGCTGGTATGGCTCTTGTCAATACGGATCTCTTGAATGGAAGAGTTTGTATTCTACAACATATTTTCAAATTTTTTCTTTGTAAATAGAAATATGAATAGTAATTTTGGGAATTCATTGATCTAATTTGCTATTATGCCCAGAGAGGAACAAATTGTTGGAAGAACAAAAATTTCCACTTTAACAATCTAACTCATACACTCTGACAACGTTTGCTTGTTAACCTCAAATAAAAATTGTTAGTACTTATTTTAGATCTTTAGAAAAGTATTGATTTTGAAACTTATGAATTAAAGAAATTTAAAAAAATATGTTTTTTAGTTTCTGGTTTAATAAACGATCGATGTTACAATGACGCTGACTGTTCTCAATATTTGCATTGTGTCAATAGAAATGGCATGATGACATGTCAGGTTAGTCTGCACTTATTTTGCTCATAATATTACAAGGCTGAATAATCCATGATTCATGAAATCAACTTTATAAAATCGAATTTCCATTCAGGCCATATCTGGAATGCTACAATACAAAACATGTCAAAGTGATGCGGATTGCGGTATACTACAGATATGTTCGTTCAGTAAGCAGTATGATACCAATTTATGTGTGACATCACCCGAATATCGTAAGCTGATTACGAATTATGCATAACCCAACCATAAATTCTGAATTTACTGAAGCATTTCAATATTTGGACGCTAAAATCAACCTAAATGAGTCGGTATTTTAATTGCGTTCTATCAGTCTAACGAATTTGTTGCAGCAAAATATTTCTTTTCAAAAAATTGTATTTTTCAGGAACCACTAAGATGAGCAGTAACATTGGGAGCAGTGTGATTCCATCGAGTCTGATAGGTAACGGTGCTCTTTCAAAGGATTTTGAAAAACAATGTACCGCTGATTATCAGGCAATTGCTTTTTTTTATAAAGATCTCACCGCATGATGACTGTTTAAACTCTAAAGATGCTAATTTCTTAACTGTTACCGAACTGTCACCTGATTTATTTATATTTCCGCTAAACTACTGTTTTCATCATTTTCTAAGTTTCAGTGCTCTGTTTTTGAAATCTGTGCTAAAAAAAGTATCTCAAGTGATCGCATCTGCATTTACAATCCGATGGCAAGCAATCGACAATGCCGTTTTAATGCTGATTGTCAGTCTGGACAGGTTTAACTCTATATTTACATTTGGACATGAAACAATTTCTTTTGTTTCTTAATATTTAACTTATTGTAGATGATTTTTACAACAAATCTAATTTTCGCAACTTTATACTACTTTTTTGGTAGTTATGCGAATTTTGAGAAATAAGATTAAAAACAGCTGATAATTTTGATATACTTAATCTCATCTAGCTCAAATACATAAAGTAATCAAATGCAATCAAGCAACCAAACCTAAACTTTAGTTATTAATTTAGATTGGAGTTATGAAATTTACTCGTTTTAAAGAGTCTTAACAACTCTATTATACCATTCAGTGTTCAAATTTAATCTCGTCTGATTTAAATTTATTGTAAAATTTTCAGCGTTGCGAGAAAGTTTTAGAGAATCTTTATTTATGTAGAGCTGCAAAGCAGACGACATTCATGCAACTGTGCAATTACGATTACGAATGTTCAGGCGATCAGCGTTGCACCATTATCGGCAACAACGCCTCTTTTCAACAAGTACCATTCTACATTATCTCTGACATCAATACTTCGCAAGTCGATATTCATAAATTATTCTTGAATTAAAATTAAGATTAAGAAATTCAAAACTCTCAAAAATTCAGGTTAATTTCTAGTCCTATCAATTAATTTTAATAATAATCAGAAATGATGACATTGTAGAATTTCCGATATTGCAATATGTTCGATGAAGAGCGAAGCTGTGAGAATGATCTGGATTGCACGGATAGAAAAGTTTGCAGAATTTTTGGAAAAATTAAACAGTGTATACCATTCATATCCAGTTCACATTTTACTCCTTAGATATCTATGAAATTAAAAAGTTCACGTACGTATCGTATTATTCTTAAGAATACAAAAAGAACCGTAATTTCGAACGACATTCGATTGACAATTGATAGAATTTCAATTATTTCGTTTTGCTCAATTTTTGCTAAAATTGCTTTAAAAAAGAAGACAATTAAAATTCTCTTTTGGATTTTCTCAGTAATAAGTAACTTCAGTATTATAGGGAATCTTTCCTAGGAAGTATTTCTATCGCCGCATTAACGATTTCATTGGGATAATGAAAATCGGGATAATAATAGTAATACAGTGTGTAAAAATGATAATTATTGTAAATTAGATTACATGAAATAATTTGACATTTAATAATGCCAGTATATTTCAGGATCAATAAACTCTATTAGACAAACACTGGTGCATGTTATTAGTGATGTACATAATGATATTCCAGTGATCACATGTCTGTTTAAATATTTCCAGAGCATATCTTTCTAAGAAATAATAGTTATCATTTATTATCAATTTAGGTAAGGATCAGAAATAAAAGAATTTCAATATTCAACGTTTTAAAATATCGAATTTATTAGCCGATATCATCTTGTTATTATCATCATTCAGACGGTTTTTTGTGCTATCACTGCCACTGTTATGAAAGCATCATTGTTCACTTTCACCGTATACCATGAAACATATGCAAATTGCAAATAAGTTATTTGAAAGTACACTGAGAGATACACCTTGAGTTGTTGTCACTGTGGTCATTGTTGAAACCATCAGAGACGTTGTTGCTGATTCGGTCGTTATCAAATCAGCTGAAATGTAGAGCAATAAATTTATTTCATTTTATATTTTATCTTAAAGTTCATTTTCTTGCTGGATTTTTTTACAGGAATTCGATATAGTTTAAATAATATTTTGTATTATAAAATAATACTTAACTTAAATAAGGCATCAGATAAGGAAAGTTCTTTATCATATTTAGTTTAGGATTAAGATATTAGGATTAGGATTTAAACAAGACAGTATCGAGAAATCAAGAAAAACTGCCCTGACCAATATTATTGATGATGATACCTTCTTACCTTCTAATACTCTCTTCTCCTTCATGAAATATTTAATGCTTACCAGTAGTAGAATATTTTAAGAATATTGGTGGTGGAATTCTGTGGACTGAAAATTACTTTAATTTAATATGTTTGAGATAAAAATCTCAGAACAAGCAATGAAATAATGATTTATTCATAGTAATCAATAAAATTGGGACATTTGGTAATACCACAAGTTTTATGATTACTCTAACCTGTTCTCTTTTTTAAAGACTATTTTCTCATGTCCAATAGTATTAGGCTGCTTATTTTTTAACTTTGAGGTTTCTGATAATAGTCCAACAAAAATTTCAATTTCTCGAATTGTTTTTTGACTATGGAAGTCGAACGAAATCGTTCGAAATTAATATACAATCCTAAAAAATGAAATGAAGTGTACTCTTTTGCTCTATAAAATTTGATAGCATCACACAAGGATGATTTAAGCGTGAAACATACGATTGATAGCAGCAACATAACCAATAGCATGGCGATTCATTTCGGATATAAGGATGGCAATATATCGGCCACCCAATTCCTGATCAATGCCAATACGATAGACGCCAGCATCAAGTTTACGACTATATAAGAAGAGACTGAAATCCGGCGACACATCATCCACTGTTTCAAAATAAGGATATTCAAAACCTTCCATTGTTGCTTCTCTTCCATAATCGTCTGCTAAAACCTAAAATCTTAAAATCAATCTTGGCCCATGTTTTTCTGTCTATTCATCTGTAGATGAATGAATTGATATCTTGTAAGCTTATGAAAGCAAAATATCTGTTAAAAAGATGAAGATAACTAGTAATTTACAATTCAGTTTGTTGAAAAGTGAAAAGCATACATATAGAATAGCTTCTGAACCTTTTGGTACCACAATTGAGGAATCACCATTGACCCATTGAGAATATGCAGGAATCTCGTGAATAAACGATCCATTATTGCCTCCACGGTGCACAATGTTCATGATCGTTGTTCTCAAATGTTAATTTTATAAGGAAATCCAATTTGGCTCATCCAACACATTCTGCGAGGAGAAGTTTGAAGTTAATAGAATCAGAAATTTTTGCATTAATTAAATAGAAAAATTGTAAAGCGAACCCTGAGATGATGGCAAATGTTTTCTTAGAAATTTTGTCCTCCAGATTGATTTGCTCCGCTCCTTTATCCCATTTCACTGATAATGACTTCGATTCTTCTGTCATAGTGCTCCTGATATCAATTATATCTTGTGGACATAGAGGAGATGGCGGTGTTAATAGTACATTATTTGCGAAATCTTTACTTGCTGGATAATACACGGGATTAGTCAGTTTGGCACATCCTGCAAATTATTTTCCACCATTATTTGTCATAATTCTTCATACTACCATCATATGCTGTAAGCAAATGCGTTCAAATCCTATGAGCCTAATACATAACAACATTGAAATGCGTGTCGAAAGTAAATCAAAGTAAATTAATATCATAAAGTTTTTGCATTATTGCAGTTAGGATCAAACATGCGTTCATATTAGTTCAGTTGTAATTAAATTGCAGCATCCACTTCGAAAAAGTTCGAAACGAACGATCAACAATCATCGGCGTCGGCATGAAACAACCAAAATCTGTTATTTCGCTCCGTGATATCGAAATATTTCGCACCGAAGCTATGACGATCAATCGAGCTATTTCCACTTTCGACGTCGTTCGCACTTTTGATCTTACTCGTTTTGTAACATTGAGATTATTCAATTGATCACGAATCCATACCGATACCGCCTGTTCTACAGGTGCCGTGTACTGCCATAATGAATCTGCCTGGACAAATAATATTGTTCATACTTGCTTTCAACTCGATTTCTCAAATTGATGGGAATACCAATAAAATGGAAAGCAGCGATTTTCGTAATGAAGAATGCATTGGCAGCAATTAAAAATTTGAAAAATTTTTCTGTCGAAGTGAAGAGAGAGTATTTTGCTTTCAGTATTTCGGATTTCTCAACATGCATCATTTCACATCCGTTTCTTAACCCTCCTCATTTTGTTTACAAATTTGTTTACAATACCTTCATATTTTGCTTAATAGTCTCTGATTTATTGTTTTGCCTCACTGTTATTGAAACATTGTGAACACAATGACTTTGCGATATTGTTTCATTTGTTGCTCCAAGAGGTAAAAAATATAAGGTCATGGTGCTACGTCCAGGTAATGAGAACGCATAATAATCGCCTCCCATTCCGACAGGATGTACTGAAAGACAGTATCCGTAGGAATGAATATATATGTTAGCATACACAATCGTTATATCCTCACAATACTTCCCGATTGAAATTTATGAAGAAAATTCAATCAACGATGTATTTGATCAGGAAGCTGCGAAATTATTGAATTGAGCAATACGAGAGTGGTAACCTAAGAAATAATCAACAGCAGATTTGGTATCAAATACATAGGCGATAATTGATATTTTTTCGGAAGAAGTGACATGTATTCGGTAATCTTGCAACATATGCAATCCCTCGACGGTGTCATCACTTATCAAGTCATGAAAATTGTACTGCAACATGATCTTATTTTTTCTCAACTTCAATTTGAAGCGTTGAGCCAAATTTCATATAAACTTCGTTTAATTCACTATGTTAAGAAATATCGAATTTCAGCTTCAAAAGATGATTCTAAACAAAAATAATGACTGTAACATGAATGAAAAACAAAACAACGCACTTCATAAGTAGCACGGACGACCACTTTATCTTCCTTTTTCCTGATCTTTTTCTGATCTTCGCTTAAAACATTGTATTCAATATTTACTGTAATATTTTTTTGTCTATCCATTCCAAAGATATGACAAGCAGATCGGTTCAAATTATAACTGTTTTGTGGTAATATGAAAATGAATTCGGTACCCCATGAATCTGCTTCATATCCGCTTAAACCTTCACTCCATCGAACTGCAAATCTTGATTTATTCTAAAATTTCTTTTAAAAAATTACGCAATCTAAAAAAAGATAGTAACCTAAAAATTTGTGATCTCAAAAAGACTATATCATCAGCAAATTACATTCGTTTCCTCGATAAGACGGTAATAAAAGCGACTGGGAAAATCTCTATGCTTCGCAAAAATCCATATGATATACGAAATAAAATAATAATGCAAATTAAGAGACGTGGGCGTTGGAACTTCTTCCGTTAATGTCGTAATGTGTTGTGCTAGTAAATAGTTCCTATATCGGACTTTGAAATAAATATTGGATCAGGTTGTAACTTTTGTATCTTCCTATCTTTATCTCTATAACTCTTTTTATTCGTATTCTTATTGAAATAATTTTACATTTGAAAAAATAACCTAAGATACTCAAACAGATTCATTCACGCTTCGAATTCGGGCAAACCTCGTCGTCTTATAAATGGCGGAAAGAGATTTTTTTTTATAATTTGAAATTTTTTCAAAAAACCGGTTTCAAAAATTTTTGGTTTTTTAATCAATATTTAAAATCTAATCTATAAATCAATTCATTATTTTTCGAAATAAACTGTGTAATTCAAAAATAAGCGCACAAGGGACTACCAATTAATGGAAATAAAATCAGCTCGAGAACGAAATGCTGCCAACCACCGAGTAAAATCATTCCGTTCAAATTCAGTCACTCGCTATTGTTAATGTGTGATACAATGAAAGTTGATAGAAAAAGTAATGATAATTGCTGTTTTGGTACTTTTATGCAGTTTAAAAAAATTTGCATAATGTACGGTAGAAGAAATTTACATGAAGGTTTTCTGAAAGTTTTTTTCCATCGTTCTGATCAAAATGCTAGCCGCCATAAATTGAAATCGGTCATTAATCTTTTGATGTTGATTCTGAAAACAAAAGAAAGCTGGAAAAGAAGTCAGCTTGGCGAATCATTTGGCTTCCGAAAAAGATTGTTAGCTAAAATTGTTTTATTTTAAAATTAGCCAAAAAGATTTTTGGCTATGCTCAAATAGGTTGACTGACATCATCTCTATTGCACAAAACAAAATGAAATTTTATAAATTCAAAGTACTGTTCATTATACTTTTCATTCCCTTCCGGTAAAATAATCATTGCTATTCCGTCAGAATTGCAATCAGTTACAATTTTAATCACTCTTCCTTCATCATCCTTATCATCATTTCATATTTCTTTCAATTATCCTTGCGATGTTAGCGGGATATCGTTCTTATTTATGTTGAACAACATTGAGATGAAAACGAAAGAATGAAAAATAATAAGCACTGTATAATAAGCACACAAAAGTTCATGGAAGAATAAAACGAACCAACCAATCTTTTCCTCCTACCGTAGCTTTTATTCGTTTCCTTTTTTTATTTAAAATCATTGAGAGAAAAGAAAAATCCTTTTTAATAAAAAAATTTAAAACAAAAACATGTCAATAAACAATAAATTCAAAGTGCTATTCATTATAGTCATGATGAATCACTCCATGGATCTCATTAACTTCATATCCTTACTGAAGCATATAAAACGAGCGAAAAAACTTCTCAGTTTCCTGATATGCAAATTTATCAAATAAATAAGGTTTGTCGCGAAATCATAAATTACACCAATTAAGGCGATTAGTAAACTTAATGAGAATGAAGAAGACTGTGACAAACTGAAATGGAATAAATCATTCTGAAAACTTCGTATGGTGGATAAATAAATTATGAAAATTTTCTTAATTTCCGGAAATGTTGCTAACTGTTCTTTTTTCAAAAGAAAACAAGAAATGTTTAATTTGGGAAAGACAAGAATTTTTGTCAAACCAAGGAGCAAATTATCGAACTTTTGAATTCCCAGTGGAGATTATGCATGCCTATCTCGAGTTTGAGCCCGAGATGCATAATTCTGACAGCATAAGTCAGTGATTTTTAAAATTCTTCTTTCTCTTCATCGATTATCACTAATGATTAGTTCTACAAGCATACTTCATTTATACTAATTTAGTGATTTAAAAATTTTCGAACGAATTCTTATCAGCGGTTTAACCTACTCCGCAATTTTGATTTTGAACGATGAATAGGCATGGAATATCAGTCCTCGCATCATTTTCTAAAAAATAACGTGAAATTTCGTTATTTCTCTAGAAAAAGAAGATCAGAAAATTCACAGAGATCGGAATTAACTTTATGTTTAATGATTACTAACTGAAGTTGCGATTAAGGATGATACTGTATATAATAACAGACAGAATTAGAAAATTGAATTTCTAGGTAAGAATAGGGATCTCATTAAATGTGAAACGGAATAATCCAAAAAATTTCAGTTTGAAAGATCCGTCATTCAATTTGCTTGAGGAAGTTTCACCAAACCAAAACGGTAACCGTCATAGGTCCACTTTACAAACCAATTAAATGGTAAGTAGATCAACCAGTTCTTGGTGAAATAGTTACAGTAGTTGATAAGTGTTGCAATTGCTCTAAGCAGAATAAATAAAAACAACGGCCCAGTGGATGAAAGGCGTACGAAGCTGTTAAATTGCATTGAAGGATTATTTAATAAATCATTTGAATCTTTTCTGGTACCATTTCATCGTGAAACACTTTACAGACACAAATAATTTTACCACATATTTTTCATTAATACCTTATTTGAGGATATATCAGTTTTTTGTCATGTAGTGGATATATCAGTGATTTAATTGCAAGCATTTAGGTAATATAAATTGTATCATTAAAGCTATGGAGCTTGTAATAACTAAACAAAAATTCTAACATCCATTTTATGCTATCAGCTTATCAGTTCTACTATATACTCTTACGTAACGGCGCCTCAAAGTAATTCATAGCATTGCATTCCTCTTTATTGTCTGATCCAATAATAATATGATAAACACCTGAATCATTGCTGAAGTCATCGCTCATCCTATCTTAATTTTCATCCTGCAGGTCTGAATCAATCTTCTGGAAATGGACGCCATTAATATCCTTTGCAAATTCAGTTTCTTAAAAACATAAACCAATAGAACAATGAACATAATAGCAACAAAAAGCACACAAACTACCACAAGCAGAAAATACATAATTTTAAAAATAAATTATTAGTTGAAACACTTTTTGTTTGGAAAGTAAAAATACCAAAAATAATAATCGCTGTTTTATCAAAACAAAATTTCAATTATAAATTATTATAACAATTATTTAAATTATATATAATAAAAATATACAAATTAAAGTCAAAAAAATATGACTTAATAAAATAGCAAATTATAGCTTAATAGGAATAACAAATAATATAAATAAAGAAGAATGAAATGAATCCAAACCCAAAATAGTAAATTCATAAAATGACAAATCAAAAAATGATACTAATATGCAAGTTAAAGTTAAAGCCGCTTAAAGTTAAAGCCGCTCTTCATCAAAAATCTCAGCTAATGAGAAAAATCATTTGACAGTGCAAATTGTCTGATATTAATCCATATTAATTTGTTGTATAGCTTATCAAGGAAAAAAGAGAGACAAAAATGTTTGAATAATGACCAAGCAGTTTGCAATACTAATGGCCGTATCATCAGGTGTACCATGAAGAATATCAGTTACCATTGCTTTTTGAGTTGTCAACATTTTATTCTTCCAACTGTACTGGTAAAATCTTTGAAGAGACTCAAGAGATCTTATAGACAGTTTCGTAAAAGTTGAACTTTTGATAGCAAAAAACTCAACAATAGAAATGGAAACTATTCAACAAATAAAATGAAATAAAATGTTGTGACAATATGGCGGCATCACTTCTCTTTTATGGATAAATCGTTTAAGAAAAGCCTAACTTAAGAAACACATATATTTAATTAAGCTTTTTCTCAACGTCTTTTTGGGTTGAACTTTTGCATCTAGCAATTAGTTTTGCTGAAGTGAAATACTTATGCATTAGATCACTTCTCATTCGCTTTGACCACCATAAATAGCCTTGCAAGTTATTAAAGTGTTTTCAAAATCTCCAATTTGTAACAATAAGCTCAGTGAACGTTCACACAGCTGGGTTGAAATATTTCAGAATGGGATCAAAACTGAAATGAATGCAACATTTACTTTAGAAACTATTATAAAAGAATACTAATAAGTAGTGCTAGTCAGATGGAATTATATATTCAGAGAAGTTAGTATGAAGTTTGCCAATCAGTAAATTCAGTTAATAGTAATCCCAACTTTCGATTTCTTTTTTCTATGCACTTTGCTTGGTACAATTCAAATGAGAGCCATTTACTTCTGGAAATCACGGACTAGAGTTGGATTCTGTAATTATTTAATTCCCTCCGTATTAATTAAATGATTTTTTCCTGGCTTTTTCTATGTCATCAATGTTTCAGTATTTATTCTGTATTTTGCATTTTTTTCTTGTTCTCTTCAGAAATGACAAATTGAGGTCACATTGGAATCCCCTCACTTTTTAGGGATATTACCAACTTACCTCACAAAATAGACACCCAAATATGAGTGGGTTAAATTGCGGAAGGCACATGACGTATGTATCTAGGCGAAGCTGAACTATATTTAGGTTGCCCTTGTACACATTTTCCATCCTGCAGTAGCTTTTTGCATATAAGTATGTATATGTATGTATATTTGTGTGTTTTCTTTTATCTGGATCGGATACGTCGAAGATTAAGTTTCCCGGATATCAAGGAGTAGATAAGTTACCTGGTCTTGCGGGAAATTGAATCCATTCAGCGATTCATTGTTTTGCTAAGGATTTTTAGGTGAATAATGGAAGAAATAACCCGAGAAAGCAGCAAACAAGAAATATTTATTACGGAAGATGAGGATGCGGATGATGAGCAGAGACTGGTGATCTCTGATGACAAACACACTGAGTCACCCATCTCAACAACTGTACGTTTACTCACTCCCATAAGCTTCCTTGCATAATAATCTCCAGTGTTATTGATTGGGTGGTCTGGCTTCATCCTTTCATTAACGAAAAAAGTTATGATAATTATTTAATATTAACAGAGATTTGTTCATAATCATGAGAATAGTTATTTTATAATATTTTAAGTTTTAATACTCATAATTATTTGGTTATTAGAATACTAAAATCTCTGGATAGAGCAGTTTTGACATCATAATGCTTGTTATACTAAGTGATGTTCAATGGTGATTATTTGAAGCTACACCATAAGATATAGTTAGTGAGGTTATTAAAAGTTGATAGTTTATTTGGAAGTTTATCGTGAAATTTTTATTGCAAATATGTGACTTCTTTAACGTATATTACGAGCTTTATTTTTTTAATATTTTAAATACTTTCACTGTTCATTCACTTCTCACAAGTGCAAGAGGGAAAGCATACTGAAATGTGAAATAAGATTTATGGTTTTATAGAAGTTAAGAACACGAAAATTAATGATTTCTTTGAAACATCAGATTTCTCAACTTGTAAATCAATTGTATCGAAATTCTCACAGGAGGAAGGCGCTATGCATGGTTCGCCGTCGGACTCACAAAATGTTGTAAGGAGTGATGATCAGAAAGAGATTTGTGGTATGCAGTCACCTCAAAAAGTATGCCACGATGAAGTTTTGAACTTCTTTTTTCAAATTCCGTCTTACAGACTAAATTCATAAAATGATGAAAATTGAAATATTGAAGCATCTTCCAGGAAATTGCATCTAAAACTACAGCAGATATCACGTTTTCTTGGCAAGAATATCTGAAACAGACCGAAGCCATTGCAGCATCGGAAGATTGTTTTTACCAAGATCCTGTACCACCTCAAAATAACTTCACTGTTGGCAAGAAGGTGGAAGTGCCAGATCCGAGAGGTAATGGCTTATTCTTTATTCGCATTGTGCGAAGGAGAGATTTTTCTCCGTTTCATTTCTGTCATTTTTTAAAGGAACTTTACGAACATATTTCTATTGCTCTGAAACATAAGTGAGCTTAGGGAACTTGAAAAAACTTGGAAGTATAATGAAGGATTGATAAAATTAGAGTGACTGGTTCGCGGAAAACTTCCAAGTTGCTTGTAATTATAAAAGAAATTGAAGGCAAGGAGGTGCAATGCTTAGCGACCATTGTTGCGGTTCATTCGCTCTGGGTATGCCTTCGACTTGATGGTGAAGATGGAAGTAATGACCACTGGCTTATATGCGATGACGAACGAATCAAACCAGTTGGGTAGGTATATTTCTTTAATTACTGTTTCATTTTTATGAAAACATGAAATGTTTGAAAAGAATTAGATCTATTTCATTCTAAAAAAAAGTGGAAGAATTTGGACGCAAGAGACATTTTAAATTATGTTGAGAGGAAAGAAGTTATATGTGGACTAAGTTTGAGTGATAACGCAGTTTTATGTTACTATTTAAGATGGATAAAAGGTTTATCGCTTGCGAATAATGAATATGTTGTGTAATTTGTGTTAATGTTTAATTTATTTCAGAGACTGCGAAAGAAATGGCCTGATTTTGCAGCCTCCATTTGGTTTTATGTATAACTTAGCTTCTTTTCATAAATTCATCGAAAATCAGTTAAAACCTGCGGCAGATGGCAGCATTCCAATAGCGCCTTCAGAATCTTTCAAACCGGTATATAGTTATAAGTTTTCTGAACTGTGCAAGCTTGACTCTCCTCTTATCCGCTGTTGTTCGAATTTTTTCCAGCATCTTTCCTACATTTTAAACAATTACGCGATCAGCAATGCATTGATAGTTATGGATTATTCTCTCTTAAATTGATTGCAGATTCCATTCAAATATCATCCAAGGAAGAATAGATTTCAAGTGGGTATGAAGTGTGAGGCGATTGATCGCAAAAATTTCAACGGTCGTCCATGTCCTGCAACTGTGGTTGATATAAAAGGCGATTATTTAACAATAAGTTATGACGGCTGGAACAAAGCTTATGATAGTAGGGAACGTTACGATAGTCGCTTTATTTTTCCAGTTGGATGGGCCATTAAATGTGGCCTTGAAGTGCAACCGCCGAATCATGTAAAAGGTATGCTTTTGATTTTTATTATGTCTTTTTTTGTCGAAATGTTTTGAAATTTTAAGAAGAAAAAAAATTAGGCGTCAAATATCATTTGTCCTGCAGTGTTATTCCGTTGTTGCAATTGATGGAGGTTGTTGTCGATTAAGGGTTCATTATGGATAGAGCATTAATTGTACCGTGCTGTATAATATTGTTTTGTGATTTATATTATCATTTATTGTTTAATGTAACGACTTTTTACAGGAAAAGTTCTGCAACGTATGGTGCAAAAAGATACGTTACCCAAAGCTCCGAAAATCGCCACTTTGGAGAAATGTATATTTCTTTCATGTTTTTGATTCTTAATTATGAAGATCCATTTAGTTTCGAATTTCATTTAGCTGATTGCCTGTATCGCATAGAAAACATGAAAGCATTCAAAAATTCAATATCAATATACCCATAATAAACAGTAATATTCTTTGATACTTTACAAGTTTCAGCGAAAATACTCAAAAGGAAATCAACCAATACCAAAAGCGGTTCGCAACGAACACGAAATCAGAAGCGGAAGCGAACTTCTCCAATTTCCGTTCCTCTTCGTAATTCTTCAGATGGTTCTTGCTCATCTCATTTAATTGATATAATTGATCAGGTACGCAGTGGGATAAGTGGTTTTTTATTTTGCTTTTATTATTTTTTTCCAATTATATTGGGTTGACGCAAATTAAAAAGAGACTTAACAAACGAAACTTTTCGTTCACTATTATAGTTTCTCTTAGTTTAAAATAGTGAAGCGAAATTTTGTAGATTGCTAAGCAAACGCATACGGTGGAAGCAAGTTCTGCAAATAGTGCGTCGAACCAGCAAATAGTGACCAGTGCAGCGGATCCAGCTACGATTCTAGACGATCGTATTGGTAGGTTCATAAAAATGTATTTCAGATATTTATCAGAATCTTTCTGATTATTACTAGAATATTAATACTATGTGAGCAAACGTTTCTTTCCAGAACCTCGTGCACGAAAAACGGTACCATTACCGCTTCTTCCTGGAGGCCCAGTTATTAGGCAGTCTCGAAAGGTAAGTTTAAAAGTTTGATCTTATGTTTGCTTCAATTAACTTTAGCTTTGCTACATGTACTAACACAAGAAATCACTTTTTAGGCAATTTCCTCCCCAGATGATGTACAAAATGTGCTCCCAGACATCGTTCTCTCAACAACTGATGTGCAACCAGTTCATAAAAGTTAAAATTGTTTCTTTAAGTGAAAATTTTTATTCGTTGTGAATATTCCTTTTGATTTGTTTGAAAATCAGAAACTCTTCATTTTTTGTCATAGATTTAAAGTTTTTTTTTTCAGTGATTGTTTATTTAAATCGAGGTTGTCGATGTGCACCCACTCTAAACGCTTCGCTTGTTCGTAAATTACCGGAGAAATTTGGACCTGGCACTTTGCATCATATTTTAAGGGAAACAGTGCAGCAAATCGTAAATTGTGCTGTTGATCCTTCTTTTGTGTTTAAAAGAGTTGATCCTGGAACTCTAAGAATTTTATCTATTACTGGTGAGGTTAATCAAGATGCAATTAACTTTTTATACTTTCTATTCTAGGATTTGATTCATTGTAACTGTCTGATAATGGTGAAATCGCGTAGTACACATTCCTGCTGCTCTATAAATGAATCGGAGAGAAGAAAAGGGGGGACACTGAAAGTTGGACAAAGAGAAACGAGTAGTAGAATTAGATAGAATATAACTCGTTAGTATTCCTTGAGTTTGCTTAGCTAGTAGTTATCACATTCAGAATGAGGCCTGCATGGGAGGAACAGACAATTTGAAAATCGACTGTAATGCTACATAGCTACTTATTTCTCTTATTTTTTTCCTCGTTATTGTTTGATTTTTAGCCGAAATCCATGAAGTGACACACGTACGCGCTATACCAGCATTGAAGACTCTTACCTCTGCATGGGATTATTTGCATGCTTTTATTTCGAAATTAAATGTGTGTCGGAACTTTTTGACGGAGGAACCGATCTGTTGCTCATTATGTTCTTGCCCTAGTGATGATGGAGTTGTGAGTACTACTGCAAGTTAGTGTATCCTTCACATCTTTATTTTGGATAAAAAAATTGTAATCTGGTTGTTATTTTAATTGGTAGCATACAATTTAGAATTTGAAGAATTCATTGTTATAGATAGTGGTGTGCTAAAATACGGTGCCGAGAGCGATGATTCGGAAGATTACGAAGGTTGGTTAGTTTTCATACAGCAATTTAACAAATTTTTTGGGCGAAATTCTGTTATCATTTCATAGTTCCTGATACCCGACATCTCATTCTTGAGAGATGAATTCAATTAAGGACATATTCGTGAGTCTTTTGTGCACTATTTATGAAAATGTTACCGTGAATTGTTCTTAGGTCATCAATACTTGGATTTAGCAGAGTGGTCCATGCAGCGCGTTGCAAATGAAGTTGAAAATATATTTGATGCAAGTGTTGCAGAAAAATTTTTGCAAAATGTAAAATTTTTTCTTTTCTCATAAAGTTAAATTTGCAATGTCTGGGAATATATTTTTATCCACTGATACACTTTTAAAAATGTACGTTTGCGATACGAATTCATTAAACAGATAAGGCAAAAGAAATCATATTTTTGCATATCATTTAATTGTGATTCACATATTTCTTAGAAGAGCGTGATGGCATGACTTAGCAATTAAATTAAGCAATAATCTTTTTTAGATTGATTCTTAATGGTGTAGTAATGATATAGTCTTTTTTAGCAGATTGATGGCAAAGCTTTAATTTTGCTAACGACTGAACTGTTGATACGGCATCTGGAAATGCCGTTTGGTCCGGCTTTGAAGATGATGTCATACATTGAATCGTTGAAACGCAGAGCATGGCGGACTACTTCTCATAGTACAAAATAAGTATCACTTTTATTCATTGTTAACATTTTTAATCTATGTTGGAAAAATCGATTCTGTTTTGTGGTGTTGTGATTTTGCCATAGATGCTTCATATATGGAGGGCAAATTACGATTTGTTTATGCATGAAATAATCCTGAAAACTGCTGTCAATTTGAGTGACCATATTTTTTTGATTTCTCTTATAAGTGCACACTTGAAAAGTTGTCATAGTTAATATTACATAGTGTTTTATTCTTTCGAATAAATTAACCTAACACCTGTTTCAGTTTTTGAAATTAATTAAATTACTGGAAGTCTGCTATAGTTTTGAATTCCAGAAATTAAAAGGCACTGCATATTCTTGAAACTTAGATTTGAAAAATAAAACCGTTAATTATTTTTATGTGAAGTTTTCCTCATTTTCTCAGAACTCCAATTCTGCGCAAAATATTTGTTCTTCACTACTTTCTCCTTATGGATTCATGATCAGTGATGAAAAATTGATATACTGGATCATTCGCAAAGTAGCTAACTCATAATTCAGCCTTGCTGCATTTACCGCAGGGTTGCATATATTTTGCATTGTAAATCTTATAGCGCAACTCAACTAGATCTATCCAGCATTGACTGTATGCTACACGTAATTCTCAGGAGAGGTTAGTAGTATTGCAACTACTATACTATCGCATGTGCTATTTCAACTTTTATTGCTCGTTCAAACCACTTAATTTTTATTTGGTAACACTATATTTTTCATTTAGTAATATATTTTTTCTCTAGTAATACAAAAGTATTATTAAATATACAACAACACTCCTATATAAATTTGTGCATGGACCATTAAAGCCGTCTATAGATTATAATAATAGTTGATGAATTCGTTCTCTGAAGATAGCTTTCTGTAGTCAACGTTTTTATCTTTTTGTTGGTTTACCGTTTCTAAATTGCTCCCTTTCTTCCATTACCACAAAATAGTATTTATTCGTCTTTGTGATATTAATTTAAAAAAAAAGAATTTTATAAGAAATTTTGATCAAATATATTAATATGTATTGAAATTTTCAGGTTCACTGTTCAGGGTTCTATCCTACTATCTATGTTTTTCCTTCTTGTGTAACGCTCAGATAATCTTCTATAATTATCTCATTGTTTCTAAACAGTACTCATTTATTTGCTGCCGGGTTTTTCACACTAGCATTATTGGTTGTTTTCACTTGGTAAATTCATCAGGTTTGATGGCTTTTATAATAAGAACGGTCTAAATCAATTTTTGTTACCACGTAAAAGTAACGTGTTAAAATTAAGGTTTCAAATTATCTACTATTTCTCTTTGTTAACTTGTGATTTCGTTTTTGTTTTCCTGTCACAAAGTCAGCATAAAGTGTTTGTCAATATTTTTTTATATTCTAAATTTTATTACGATTAAATTTTAAAGAATGAGATCCAGCATTAAATCATTTGATTTGCACCGAAAAATGGTCAAAAATGGAAAAAAGTTTTATTAAAGTTGACTTCTGGGAAGACATTTAAATTCCTTGTTTACACATAATAATATGAGTGGTTTTCAAATTCAGTATTTTCATTGATCACTGACAGTTGACAGTGTATCTGAGCAAAACTAGAAAAGTATGATGAACGTCAGTTTCTGCAGTTGAGAGAAATGTGTGTTGAATTTCTTTAGGGCGGAATTCGTATTCGCCAGTCGTTATATCTTGAAAGTCGCAGCTTTGCAAGCTGAAATAAACACACGATGAACGAATCGACATTAGCTGCATCTGATATGTAATTGTCGCTATTCGCGCTCTCCTTTAGGAGAGCGAAATCTGAAGCTATTTATTTGTGCATTTTTTTTTTAAAAGACGGGTATCTCTATCAGTCGATTGTAGCATAACATACGTTCTCGGTACATTCAGTACATTCGGATGCGTGTTCGTTTTATGTTAGCCATTCATTTTCAAGATTGTAAACATAATGTTCTTTTGAAAAAATGACTGCACGAAAAAGTAGCGAGGAAATAGATCTATACAGCGCTGGTGAGGTGAATTATATCACGCCGATTTTTCCGCATTCTTGAGATAAAGCGGAAGCGATTCCATTTGCTTAAAGGGGTAGCTTTTTTCAAAACTATGAAGGGTGGAACTACATAAGGTTTCAACTTTTTTACTTATTTAGCCCTGCTTTTGGAGGAGAATTCTCAATTTGGCTTTTTTTGGAATTATATTTATTATATATTACATTGGTTGATTTATTAATCATTTACCCAACTGAATTGAAATTCAGTAATTTTTAAAATAGAAAAAGGAGAAGCAGTGGAGAATACAAATAATTCCGGGAGGGATCTGTTCTCTGTACAGTAGTTATTTTTCCGTGGATTATGTGATTTCACCAGCTGAATGATATAAAATGCCACAAGGCGGTTTTGTTGTTCCTGGTTCACTGGCAGATTTCAGGAGTGAAGAAACAAACATTTAACTGGATCGTTATGTAAATTTGTGGAAATTGATAGCGCATTATAAAATGTGCGTGTTTCATAAACAATAATCATTTAAGAAAATTTCAAAGACACTCGTACTGGCTGTCACTGTCATGGCACATGATATTTTAATACAACCACTTCGTGAGAAGCGGTACTGCAATTATTTTATCAATTCTGATTTTCAGTTCTTATCTCTTTTTGTTTGCTGCTTGCTTGGTTTTTATTTTATTCATTGTGTTAGACCTTTAATTATTTAAAGTGTTTTTAAGTTGTTTTTAATTATGTCATCATTTTTAACAATTTGACTATTTTAATGGTTTTCAAAATTCAAGTAATTGTTAATTGTTATATTGAATTTATAGTCATAATCCCTTTTTTGAATGTATTAAGAAGTTTCCTTTGTATTTGTTTCCATAAGTGCTGCCATAAAATTTTTCAGCGATATTCGAGATTATGACCCGAGTATAATCAAAATCGAATTCAAAAAAATGTTATGTTCGGTTAGTGATGAAGTTTAAAGTAACAGCTGAAAAATAGAAACATTTTCATAGAATGATCAGAGTCCTGAAACTAGCATCTCATTGGAATGGCAACTTCTTTTAGGATAAATCTCGGAAACGGTTAAAACAATTGGAATTGTGGAAAGTGATAACATTAGCATCGTATTATGAGAAATTTATGGATTCCACAAGACCACGTCATGTCCGACAAGCTATTGTCTATATGAGAGAGCTCGATGCTGCAGCATATCGAATTGATTCCACCATAGAGACTGTAATTAATTTTTGGCTGGCCAAAAATTTGAAGAATTAATCTTATTGTATTAATATGTATTTAATTTACTTTGCTGTCATGAGAATTCCATTCTCCATAGCTTTGAAAATTTCATATCCATAGTGATATCTCGATTATATCTACATTCCAGTGTCATTTCCATTTTTTATTTCAACAAATAGCTTAAGACCTTACAGAGACATTTTGTGCTTATTTTACACTAAACAATTAAAACATTTTCTAAATTTAATCTATCTTTTTAAAGTTTTTGACATATGATTAAAACATATGATTATGATTGAAATCATAATGGCATGTGATCCAAATCAGTGATCCAGAGCCAAATGCTTCTGTCATTCCTCACTTTTATGGTATCAGCTCCATTTTTTTAATCAAACAAGTACGCGATTATGATAATTAGTATTAAATAATGAGGATCACTTTTATTGGGTAATAAACATAAATAAACATTAAAAGACATTTTAGTTTTTCGAAAACCAAAATTTCCTTTATAATTCTTTAGCTCGATCAGATTACTAATGAAGTCGATAAGGAAATCGGTTGCTGGGCAACAAATTTCAGAAAGTCTTGGGTCACTAAGATTGATGCTCTTGAAAATGGTGGTGACTTAAATCTTTCAATTTGAAATTCTTGAAATCCCAAAAACGAGTTTTCAAAAATTTATCATGCGGTTATTTCGTTGTGTTTCAAGTTCATCATTTTTTATGCTGAGAATTGACGAGTCTATTGATTTACGGCCAGATTACTATGAGTTTACATATGAAAGTGTTGGCTGGGAAGTGTGATGAAAATTTTTTCAGCAATCCTTTTATAATTGTCTTGATAATATCCGAAACATAAATGAAATTTATCTGGAAGAATCGGTATTTTCAGGTCCTTATCAGCTATCAGTTCAATTGCAAAAGCAAGAAAAAGCAATAAGTGATGTAGCAGATCATTTTTCAGAGAGAATGAGACTAATAAGCAGCATGGATGATAACTTTAAGGAGCATAGAAGTTTACTCAGAAAGGTCCTTCATTTAGATAAAATTGATTTATTTGTGACTCATATACGTTTTTTCACTTACATATTTCTTATCTTTGTAATTTTTATTAGATAAAATGAAATGAACATGAAGCTATTACTTATTGACCATATGAGTCTAACGAATTGAAATATGCATGATTTCCATAAGTCCATAAATGACCGTCCCTTCAGGATCTCTAAGCTTTAGCCATAAGACAATTTCTACTTCTCCTACATCGTTACTGATTCATAGTTTCAAGTAGTTTACGAAAAATAGAAAAGCAGAATATAAAAATAAGCAAAAAAAGGAAATATTTCTTTTAAATGCTTTTCCAGCACATTTTCATAATCATAGAGGTTGTAAGGAATATTCTTTTATACTGTACTATATGAAGTATATCGGAGAAGTAGAATTTAAAAGGGCTCAGTAGTTCTTCTCGAATCAGAGAGTTTTAAATTAATTCTTGGCAAGATTACCGCGTCGCAATTAATTCTTCTAAAATGTTTTGATACTTCAAGTCAATCGCTCGGTCTAGGCCCAAGAAATACTGATTACTCAGTCTGGAATATTTAAGTATGAAATTGTTATTGTGTTGTTTTTACTAAAATGGTAATTTGGAATCAAATTACTTCTGAATATGTGCTCATATTCAGATTGATAGAAGAAATTTCGGAGAGTTATTCAATTTCATATTATTTTTAATATGCTTCGAATTATTAAACCTTAGAATTAACTTCAATTTTGGAAAGGAATTGAATTTTTTCTCAATTTCAGTGTCGGGCATTTGATATTGACATATTGGCGTTTACTAAGCTTGTCCATTTACAATGCGGTAAAATGGTAGCATCCGTGAAAGAACGTTGGTCAGTGGAGGATTTGAAAACACTTCCCCTTGTTGGTTAATTTTGCTTCAAATTTTGTTCTTTCAGGATTACTGTGCTACATCCACGTGACGTGTTAAACAAATTGTTGATTGAGTTTAAGGCATGATCACTATACATTTCACACATGTAAATATAAATCGTTGAAAATTCAGATCCTTATATCTGATTGGAAGAAATAAACATTGATATTTGGACATTTGTTTTATAAGCATTTTTTTGTGTGTATTCAAATTCTTGTCTTTAGATAATTGACGAGCTGAATAAAGTTATTGCAAATTTGAATGATTTACGAACGGTTTGCGAATTGGTTGCACCGACAAGTTTATCTAAGGAAAATGATATAGCAAAATTAATTCGTCAAGCTCAAAAACTTCGTCGAATTTTAGGGATTTCAGTTACATTTCCTATTTACTATCTTAATATATTTCTTTCTCAAAGTTTCTGTATGCAATAAGTAACAAAATAGTAATTAAAATAGAAAATTTTTATAGGTTGATGGAATTATAATAAAGTCGCCAATATTATTTGTCAGCTGAACAGCATGCATCTACGCCTAATTCGAACTTCAACCGTCATGTAATTGCTGATATCTGTCCGGATATCTTGAATTTTGCCCCAGTCTTTCCCTTATGTTCTGGCAATTGTCAGTAATCAGTGAATAAAATTTTGACTATCGTTTACTTATTAAACTTCAACATAAGTTTTGGCAAAGATTCATGGGATGAAAAATGGAATGAATGAAATGAAAAATGAATGGATAAAAATGGAATGAAAGATAATTTGGTTTCGAATGGTTTGCATATAATAAGTATTCATATAATAAGTATTATTTTAACCCTAACGTAGATTTATTATACTAGTCTTTCCTAGGACTGATTAAATTAACTATGTGCAATTATTTCATTATATCATATTTTCTTCAACTTTCATGCTTCTATGTATAATGATTCCATTATTACTACTACAACCATTATTATTATTATTATTATTATTATTATTATTATTATTACTATTATTATTATTATTTTATTATTATTATTATTAATTATTCGAGAAAATTTGCATCACATTACAATTACATTTTTCAAATGATAAAACATTTTGGAAAATGTGATTGTAATGTGATGTAAATTTAGTAGTAATGATAGTAATGGTTATATTGGTATTTAAGATAGTAATATGAATCATTATTCCACTCTCTTTTACTTTCTTCCGAATTTCTTAAGAATACTCCACATTAGTGGACAGGATAGAAAAATGAATCAAAATTTTTGAGATTTTCTTGAATTTTATTTAAAGGATTACAAATAAACTTCGGTGAGATGGGTTTAATGTAAAGGTAAAGAGAGAGAAAATGAGAATAAGGTCATCAAAACATCAGACTTGCATGTTTTATCATTTGGAAAATGTTGTGCAGACAAATAGCTTAGTTGCAAGCATCACTGCGCATAATATGATATGTGTAACGCGGTATGCGAGACTTTGATCGGATCCCCCTTTTTCTTCTCCTATCTTTCTCATATCTTAACTCCATGATCCTGGCCAGTTCCTTAATCCTATCTTATTCTACCGATTATCACCATCATATTTTCCTTTCTTAACATTATCAATGTTATTATCGATAGCACTAAGTAAAATGACACCTATTGTTGTTTCGATAAATGATCTCATCAACATAACCTTCTTCCTCCATTACTAGTTGCTTACTACATCTTCGCAGCTATTCATAGAACTCTCAATCTTTTCTTCTCTCCTCCGCTTAATATGACACAAATCGGTATGTCCGGATCAGTTATTTTCATTGCCGTGCATCATTTTAATACCATGCAATCAATGCTTCCTAGACTTTATGGCGTCCCTTATTGAAATGACACAATTAGGAAGCAGTTGCTATGCCATTAATATGAGTATTTCCTATTGTTCTCATTGAAGTTTACCTGAAGAGATGCTTTCTTTTTTTAGCGCTAATTGCTACAATCCTATCCATTCTAATTGTTGCATCGTTTTGTGATACTTATCATTACACCATTCCATTTTCCTCAACTTATCGTACTACGATACATTCCAATCTTACACAAAGAAGTTACCATAACATTCCCAGAAATATCACTTTGACAGCATTTAATCCATTTTAATATCAACTTCTAGAAAATACCATTTTTAAACGAAACAATTTTAATAATTCTCATCTTGCAATTTATTATATTTATAGAAGCTGTCAATGAATCTGATAGAAGCTCAATGGTTACCTTTCAAAAATGTTTCCTTCTTTAACATTTTTTTCTCAATGTTATTTTTGTCTTTTATAAAATGCAGAATATCTTCTATGGAATATTGGAAATAGCACAAAGAAATATAGTGAGTGGTTTACTTATAAATAAGCCCGAGAAAATGCATAATAGAGAAGCCGCCATATCATCTATGTACAACCGAGAACTTTTCCATAAAATTTACTTGAATGAGGTATATTCAGGGACAATGATTATGAAATAAGTACAAGGAATTGGATGATAAATGGAGGAAAGAGAGTAGAGGTCGTCGGATATGATCATTATCATTAATAAAACAAACAGCATACCATTCATCCGTCCATTTGAGAGAGAGGAAAATGAGAGTAACTGGGTGCTAATAGGTCATTATTTAACGAGTCTTTCCTTTGCAGACACATATTTTCTTTTTTTCCGGAATCTTTAGAAACTATCATAAAAATTGAGCATTCATTTTTGCATTTTTCTCATCGGTAGTAAGTAAATAATTAGGAGCGGCAATGGCAACGGCGGTAGTGGCACATCTGGCCAGGGATCGCTCATCATATTATTCCTCTTGTCTTCCCATCAGTCTTTTCATTTCTTCTTACTATAACCAATATAATGTAATGAGAAGAACGGGAATTTATGGAATCACTCCAGCCCCGTCATTTTTCTCATAAATTGTACTCATAAAAGTTTTGTATCATTATTATTGTTGCTGTTGTTATTGTTGAAAGGATCATCCATCATCAAGTATATTATCATTATTCCTTATCATTCTATTTTTTTATTGGCGATATTTATCCTCTCTCCAAGCACCTCATTATTTTCTCTTCACTAAATATGTAAACTTAACTTGTAATTACTTTTATCTCCTCTTTGGAAAAATGCAAAAGAAAGAGTCAAGAAAGCAGTTTATATCAATAACAATTCTGTAAGTGATAACAAGGTTGCTTTCATTAAAAAAGTTAATTTAACGATCCGTTACAATAGCAGAACTGTTAATTAATATTTTATCAATTTTTTCCGACATTAAAACATTTGGATTTTACATCAAATATTTATAAAAAAGAGGGAGATTGAAAGGAATAAACAAACATAATCGTTCCATCAACCATTATTAAATTATCAAGCACTGATATTTTCTTCAAACTTTAAGAAGATCATACAAATTTCGAATAAAATTGCAAAGATTTGAAAAGGATTGATTAAAGCCTTCCTTCCTCTCAATAGATCAGCAGATAGATATATATGGATGGAAACAGATACAAGATCATTTCACATTCGATAACCATTTCCCATCTCAATGTTGTTTGTGCTTTATCAGAGTAGTCAGTATACGGCCAAGTTTATTGATTATGAGAAATAAATTCACTTTCAAAAAGTCATTACTTCTCATGTGTTACTATCATTTGTTAAAGATCATTAAAAATAAGTTTCGACAGCATTTAAGATGGCTGGTTCCTCAATAGGTTCAACAGAAGTTGCATTTGCTTTGGAATAATGCTATATTCTTTATGGAGAAATTTTTAAAAAAGGGAATGGAAGGATGGAATGCTTCCATTCGCTTCTAATTCATTTTAATTCGATTAACTAATAACAACGACAATAACTATGGGAAGATGAGCTGAATTTCCGCTATTTGGTGGATGGAACACGTGTGCCTTCAAGGCCCATTACATCCTATAGTTAGTTGTCATAGATCATATCACATCACTTATTCTACCAACAGAATATCATTTTTTGACATTTTCAAATCATTATTTGCCACCAAAAATATGCAAATGTAATGTTTGCACCTGCACATGAAATCAATGGGCTGTATCTCAGTTCTTTTGGATGAATAGTTGATTTTGTTAGTTATGGATAGGTTCATTTCTCTTTTACTATGCTGTTTCCCATTCCTGTTCCTTACAACAGTATCAGAAAGGTTCGAAAATGTTTAATATTTCTCTGTTTTCTTGTATACAGTAATAACTAAACAGACAATTCAATTTCTCTTTCATTTTCTAAGGCACCTTTTTGCAAATTATAAATGAAATATAAATGGACTGAAATTTAGTCTATAAATTTACATGCGTTTGATTCAAAACAAATCTGTATATCGTTTCTTGTCAACTGCATAATGCATTCATTGAATTTCGATGCTTTTAGATGATAGTTGTTAGGAATACATCAGACTGCTTAGTTTTTAAAGTTGTTTTCTGCATCTTTAAATATCGGAGATTTCCAAAAAATCGGATTCAGTAATGCTGAAGCATGGATCATTAAAAAGGAGTGCACGTTTGTTGAGTAAATGTCAATGGAGCAAATTATTGAAAGTCTAAACATTATTGCAACGGATTCAGATGAATCAGATAATTGAATAATTTTGATATTCTAATATGATATTCAAAGTAAATCGTACGGTTTTTATTCAAATTTTTAACAGTTCACCGAGAATTAGCAAGGCTAATTAAGCGCTATTGTTTATCGTAATTTCGAAAACTTTAGAATCGAAATCAACTGTTGTTCTACGATAAGAACTTTTAGAGCAATTACATTTCAAGCAAGTTTTTTGGAACAGTTTAAGCAAGTGAAATTCATTGATGGTTGAATTTGTAGATTACAAATTGTGGAATTGCCTTTGTTGAATGGAGAAAATGTTAAATGAATCAACCTCACTGAGGTGAGGCGTAATCCTGTGCCATGTTGTACTGTTGTTGATTGATTGATGTGATCAGTTGGGGTGCTAGAAAGAAAATTAAATTTCAGACAGTTTTATTAGTCATATCGTCCTACTTTCTATGCACTCTTTTTAATTTGATACTACCATTTTTTACTCTTTAACTGATAAAAAAATGCCTTACCATTTTCCCATCCTCTAAAAAAAGTTGAAATAATCTATTAAGTCTCTCAGCAGGTAATTAAAATTTCCTTCTCTTGAAATTCTTATAGAAGTATTAAATTCTGCAGTGAATATCTGAACTAATCAAGTTCTGTTTCTGGTAATGCATACTGTAACATGTAATTTCTGCTTTGAATGGCTTATGTATATCATTCTTGCATAACAAAGTCCTTCCTGTAGCATTGAACCATAAATAGAATAAACTATTCTAACTGATGGCACATTTTGAAAGTTTTAAGTGGAAGGAGATAGCATATTGATTGGATGAAAAGTAACGGATTCCGATACATTAAACTACTCAAAGCTTCTTTCAACCAGAATATATATTACTGTGTTGTTACGAATCTCTTCTAAGAAAGCATTTTTATGATTTTCATCGCTTACTGCACAGAATCAAAAT